GTAGGCATATCTTTAAAATCCCTGTGAGTAGGTATATTTTACGCTCCTTTTCATATTTCCACTTGATGATTTTGTGCATAAGATCTAAAAATAAAATATGTATCCATCATTATAGATATAAATATAATGTTAAAAAATGATCACTCTTCCCCATCCCTTTTGTGAGCATGAAGTTAGAATCTACATGAAACTCAGGAAAGTTTACTCTTCTTGTTACTATAGCAAAAAAAAAAAAAAAAGCTCTTGTAGTTTGAAAAAGTATAAAATATTTGTCTCATTTTCCTTCTTCCTGAACCCCTTATTTCTTTATTCACATTCATATAAAAATGTAAAATTCCAATCTGAGATTGTATGATTGTATTAGTCTTCCCAAATAGTTCATTGAGTTGAAAACACAGATTTAAATATGTATATATCAGTATTGTTGCTTTTTAAGAATTAAAAATATATTTTAAACCTAAAAATATAAGGTGTTGATTCATTATATGGTGTGAACCACTGCAAACAAGCACTTGATAGAAAAATGGCTTTTCCTATATTGAAAAATCTGATTTGGTTGTAAGTATTTTGTCATTTGAAATTGTAGTAGTTTCTTATCCATCAACATGTAGGTTGTAGAAGCTAGGGCTATTCTAGGGACTACAAGATATATATATCTGAAAGCCCATATATATTTCATATATATGAAATTTCATATATATATTATTTCACATATATATCTTATTTCATATGCATATTATTTCATATATATAATAAAACAGCCTTATCCACTAGGGACCTATGTTCTAAGCAGATGACAATTGAATTTACAGAAAACATTTGTCTTCCCCATGAAACTACAGAGATATGAGCAACATTATTACTGAATATTCAGAAATACTATTGCAGGACATTGATTTCCTAATTCTGTTTTATAGAGTTGGGCCAGAAATATTAACCTTCTGGGTTTATTATGAAAATGCAGAAGCATTCTTTTACTCAATTCTTAATCTTTGTATTCATGATCATTTCAAAAATTTGAGTGTTAATCATTTAAAAATGTCCTACTGTGCACATTCAAGAGCTGTGCACATTCATTAAAAATTGTGAACATTTCTGCGGTCCAGACTTTCTGGGGAGCTGGTCACAGGTAGGTTACCCCACGCCGGTGCTCACCTGCTGAGAGGTCATTTGTTCAGCTCTTTGCCAAGGTACTGGAATGGAAAGGACTAATGAATATGTTCAACTCAGAAACATACTATTCAGGAAATCAGTAGTAAACTTGGAGAATTAAATAGACCCATTCATAATTAAAGAGCTGAATTACTGTACTAATGAATTTCCTTCCTGGAAAGAGGAATCTGATGGTCTCATCCATCTGTTCCTTCTCCCCTCACTTTGTTACTTTTCTTTTCTTTTGTTTCTTTTCTTTTCTTTTTTTTTTTTTTTTAAATAGTGTGTTACTGTTTTCTTAAATCGAGGTTACTCCAGCTCATTCTCCTTCATACTTTTTGATTGTTCTCACATTAAAAACAAAAAAATCACCCATTGACTAGAGAAGAATTTTTACTGCACTTCCCTGAACTCCTTGTCAATTAGATTAGAAAACAGTAAGAGGAGTAAAAAGAGATTCTCATCTTGCTTTCCATACATTACAGATAATCACCCAGCACCCATTACACGGCTGCATTCAGCTACAAATGACACTGGGCATTCACTCAGCACTAAGGTCTGAATTTCTCAGCGCTGGCTGATTGGCGGATTGGCTGAGGTCAGTCTACCCAGCACTTTGAAGGGCTGCAGCTTAGGACTGTTGGGCAGGGGGCTTGGCGCTAACTACTTTGAAAGCAGGCAACCGAGTGCTTTTGATGAAATATGGAAAAGCCAGCAGGGAGCCTTGGCAGCATGACATTTGAAATGAGTCCTCCAAAATTTTTTCAACTCTCGAGTGCTTTAATGTCTTGAGCAGGCTGAAATTAATGCAAAGTCTAAAATGAAACGACGAGCATGCGTTAGGATTCCGTGGAACCCCGAGGAGGGCACCAAGAGGGCTGGGAAGCCTCTCTCAGTGGTGAACCCCGAGTTTCACCTGAATCGGAGAAAGCACACCTGAGATCGAGGGCAGGTTATGGCTCTTAGTCCGCTTAGATTTCTTCTGACCATGCCAGCCACAGGGCTGTCTTGCTCCCTCCAGCTGCTGCAGAGCAGGCAACCTTCCAGGGCTTCCGGTGTCGGCTCTCCCCGCTTCCTGCCACGTGTCCAGCATCACAGGAAATCCGGCCTCCTGCGCCCTCACCCGCTTCGACTTCCTTGTCTCTCAGGGCAGGGCCCTGACACGTATTTAGCACAAGTTATCTGTTTCGTTTTAAAATGTGAAATGACTTCCATCCTTCATGACTGTGCTCTTCAGACCCAGAGAACAGGACGGACGTTCCCGCCCAGCCTTATGACTCCGTGAGCCTCTGTTTTCTTAACTGTAAAATGGAGCCAATATTGTCGCCCCTCTCTACCTCAGAGGTTGCTTGAGGAATGAGAGAACCTCTGCAAAGAACTGAGTTCAGATGTTATGCAGACATAAGATATTATTATCGAAATAATAATAATAATCCTTTTAGTTTTTGGACTTCTAAGCTTCAGCCTCCTCACACAGTGTTTGCTGTGGAAGCTCAATGAACAATTAAATTTGCAGATTTCCTTGATTAGTATTTTTTGTTCCAGAAGACAAACACTATAATTTCAAGAATATTCTCTATATTTTTGAGGGCTTACAAAGAAAAACACAATGTAGAAATAGCCTGATTTTCTAAAATGCTCAGAGAATGATGTATTCTGATACACCTAATTTCTGGCTAAGTGGCTAAACAAATATTCCTTTTCTTTAAACTGTATTATTGAATATGGAAAGGCCTTATTTGCTTTTCTTATTGCAGCATGATATGTAATATGAATCTTTAGTGCATTTCATCTTCGATGAAGAATTGCTTTTGAAAATATGAACCGTTTTCAGGGTGGCCATAGGTTTAACTCACAGGTGTTGGTTGGAAACTCAGTAACAACGGGTCTGAACTCTGATTTCTGTTACTTATCTTTCTTAAGATGGAGTTTTTAATAACTCACATCTCTTTTAATTTAGTTAGTGGTGAGTACATATTTACAATGAAATGCCACACATATTAACCCTTTTGTGACTTCCTTCACCCCCCCAGTCTGAATAAGCAATATGTTCACTTGAGTTGATGGGAGTGCAAGCTCAGTGTGGTGGGGGAATGTGTCCCTCAGGGCTGCAAGTGCTGCAAACTCAGTCCAAAAATGAGTTCAGTTAGATCATTGATTCACTAAATTAGAGAAAGGAGGAATTTTGTTTCGTTTTGCTTTGAATCAGCTACTGGTTCCAGTAAGGCAATTAAAGAGTTCAGTTTTGGAATAGTTGTAGGTATTATAATTTTGAGCTAGGCACTCTTAGATTTGAAGAATCTGAATTATAAATGAAATAATAGAATTTAGTGCAAGATGAAATTTGTAGAGTCTAGGAATTACAGCCCTGTGCGATTTAATGTCTTTTCACAGGCATAATTGATATCTCTATATTTGAACTATAGGCTTTTTAATCTAGATGGTGACTGGAAGCCATTTCTCAACTCATCCTTGTGGGCCGCAATAGAAACAGGGAATTTCTCAGAGGCACAGCTGGCCCAAGTGGCAGAGTCTTAAAGGGGATCCTGGTGCCACCCCCGGACTGCAGAGTAAGCTGGAGTGTGGAGGGGAGGGGAGAAAGCACTGTGTATTTACCGATGGTAGGGCTCAAGCTGGTGTGGGGCTTGGCTCAGGGACGTTGCTCCAAAACTCCAAGAAAGAAAAAAGAAAAGGTTTCATTCAGTCCTCACAACAAGCTTGCGAGTAAAGTGATCTCGTTTGATATCGAGGACACTCATCCTCAATGAAGTTGGCAACTCACCCGAGGGTTCAAAGGTCACGGTGGAAACCAATTATTTCAGCCCCTTCTTCCCTGGTTTCCTTTCCTTCCCCAAATCCAGCTACAAAGAAATGATGAAAATGACAATTTACTCATCATAAAAGTAGAAGATAACATGGCTTAACCAAGTTACGGAGATTAGTCGAAGAAAGCCAGGAAGAGCAGCTGCCCTTGTATTAATACTATGATCAATGCCTGCAGTGCTCACGTGGCCTGAAATCAACGTGCACAAACCCTTTCCCATGGGAGCCCTGAGAGAAGCCTCTGGAGACTCGCGCTTGGCTGCCACATGGCACGTTGATTTGATTGTGACCCCGGGAAAAGCCCTTCATCTCCTTTGGAATTTGCTGACCCTTGTTTGTGGGTCTCACCTTGAGCCTTTGAAAGGGGATCTAAGGCCCCAGATAGCTTTTCTTTTGTGAGGGTCGGTTTCGGTGGGGAAACATCCGTAATTTGAAGAGTGGTATAAAATGAATAGAATAACATCTAGCATCTTCTAGTTATTCAGTAAATATCTGTTGAATAACAAAATGCATACTACTTGACTTTTTTTTTTTTAAATGTGGATAGTTGAATTGGGAGAATGCACAGCTGGTTATCTGAGTGACCACTGGGTGTCACTGTTTACCCACTGACCGACCATCAGTTTTTTGTTTTTTTTTTCCCCCCTCTCACCTGGTCAGGACAAAAGCGTCTGGAAGCTGGTCCAGATGCAGAGATTTCAAGTTTGTTTCTTATAAGTAACCTGTTATCTCAGGGGGAAAAAGGGTGATTCCTGTGTTATTCACGTTAGGATATTTTTTGCATTCTGTAATTTAGATGGAGAGCTGTGTTTTCTGTTTCTTCATCTCCCTTTTGTCCTCCTAAAGAAGTTTTCTTTTGCTAACAAAAACAAGAGTTTTTATTTTGCAATTTATCTTGAAAATAGGAACGCTGGTGTGAACATTAGTTGGTACAAGACGGCAGGGTTTCATATGTAACTTTAATAGGAAACTATTGCAGGTGCTGAAAGTAAATTCTCACTTTGTCAGGCTCAGTGGATCGTGATTATTGTTGCAGTGAGCTTCGTGGAAATAGAGGCCGTTCTCACTCTCTGGTGAAAGACATAGATTGGGCTTCAAAGGCCACCTCCACTGTTCTGATCTTTGGCCTCTAAGGTGATGCTCAACATCTTTGATCCTCAGAGTTCTTTGCCCCCCAGCAGGGCTTCTGAGCCCACTCCCGGGGCTGCTGGGAAGTACCAAGTTCAAATTCAAAATTTCTTGTTTTCCTCCTTAGGGGTGTTCTGCTAACATCAGAGCTGGTGGGTCTTGAAGGAATGTTGTGTTTCCTCTGCTCTTCCCTTCGTGATGTAATTTACCCATTCTTTATAACACAGTCTAATATGGGTTGGGCCAAATAGCTGGAATTCCTAAGTCAGAAGTTTTCTCTGAAAGGCACGTAATTGACTCACTTGTCCATGTCTGTGGATTTCACTGCTGCAACAAGAGGACCTAGAAAACAGCCATCTTAAGACCTGAAGAGGCCTCAGAATTTATCCAGTTTAGTTTTTTTTTGGATGCATTTTACTCTTTCTTCAACATTCCATAGAGGGCTATAAAACCTTACAAGTGGGAGGTCTTAACATTTCCCCATAAGACCAATGATGTGAGTACAACCTGCAGAAAACAAAAAGAATCCAATTAGACAGTCCCTGGCCACTCCTTTCTCAGCCCTCCTTTCCTGCCCACACCTCCCCTGCAGGAGCTCTGCTAATTCCTCACTGTATCTTGGTATCCTCTCCTTTAAAGGGAGAAGAAAAAGATGAGCACTTATGTTTCCTGAATCGAATGCATTCCAGGCTGATGAAGAGTGATGGCTACCATTACTTGACTTCTTTCTCTGAGCAGGACTTGTGTTCAGCTTTTTATTTTCACAATGTCATTTAATTCTCACTACAGTCCCATGAGATGCTCCAAGTTTTCCCTAATTTACAGATGAGAAAACTGGAGCATCAATGGAGGTTAAATGGCCTACACAAAATCACCCAACTAACACCTGGTGATTTCTGATTCCCTTGCTTTTTAAAAATTGATACACAATATTTTATGTACTTATGGGGTATATGTGATATTTTGTTACATGCATAGAATTCGCAATGATCAAGTCAAGGTATTTGGGGTGTCCATCACCTCAAGTACTGACCATTTCTATGTCTTGGGAACGTTTCAAGTCCTTTTTCCCAGTTACTTTGAAATATACATTGTTGTTAACTATAGTCACCCACTCTGAATTGAACATTGGAACTTACACCTTTTGTCTAACTGTATGTTTACACCCATTGACTCATCTCTGTTCACACTCCCACCCACACACCCTTCCCACCCCCACACCCTTCCCACCCACACATCCTCCCACCCACACACCCTTCCCACCCACACATCTTCCCACCCACACACCCTTCCCACCCACACATCCTCCCACCCACACACCCTTGTCAGCCTCTGGTATCCATCATTCTATTCTCGACCTCCATGAGATCAATTTTTTTTTTTTTTTAATAGTTCCCACATTTGAGTGAGAACTCGGGATATTTGTCTTTCTGTGCCTGGCTTATTTCACTTAACACAAGGACCTCCAGAGACTCCTTTGCTTTTAACCACTCACCTACTTAAGGAAATGTTGGGTTCAGTGTTGTGGTCTGTAATAGAGAGGGTTTTTCAGTCAGTCACTGCTTTTAGCTCATGGTGGAGGCGTTTGGAGCCACATGGAACTAGACCTGACTATCAGCTGCAAGAACAGGAGGATTTCACTCAATTTCTCTTTTGCTCCTGAAAGCATTTCTCTAGATGCCTCATTTATCCGCATGTGGCTATTGCACATTGTATGTGATATGGTTTGGCTGTGTCCCCACCCAAATCTCATCCTGAATTGTAATAATCCCCACATGTCAAGGAGGGTGGTCAGGTGGAGGTAATTGAATCATGGGAGCAGTTTTCTCCATACTGTTCTTGTGTTTGTGAATAAATCTCATGAGACCTGATGGTTTTATAAATGGGAGTCCCCTGCACACAGTGTCTCTTGCCTGTGGCCATGTAAGATGTGACTTTGTTCCTCCTTTGCCTTCCGCCATGATTGTGAGGGTTTCCCAGCCATGTGAAACTGTGAGTCTATTAAACCTCCTTCCTTTATAAATTATCCAGTCTCAGGTATGTCTTTATTAGCAGCATGAGAACAGACAAATGCAGTATGCCTGTGTCAAAATCTCTCATATACCCCATAAATAAATGCACTTACTGTGTACCCACAAATACTAAAAACGAGATTTTAAAAAAAGATTTCTTCAGCAGCTGTGGTTGGCTGGGCACTGTGCTAGCTGAAGGCATCTTTATCTTCCCCCTTGCTTAGCTTCATGGAGACCATGAGTCCCCCAGTCCTCACCCCTCCCTTGCAAGTTGGAATTAGACTTATTAGAACTACCTGATGGAGCTCAGTTAAACTTACAAAAAATGAAAGACAAAACTAAAATAGCCTGCTCAGTTTATAACTCTCAGCCAAAATCTCCGATGAGCGGTGGGCGAGGTACATTTCTGTTAGGGAGGTTGAGAGTTTTCTATGTGAATCAGTGTGTATATGTACAGAAGGCAGCCCCATGCATGTGTTTTGAAGACTTAGTGTGTGTCAAGGAAGTGTGTGATGCCTGGGTTTAGAGGGTGGGAGGGGCCTGCTACCATTTGCAGCAGAAGCTACCCTGGGGAAGGCTTACCCTCTGCATATTGATTGCCTGAGGGTTTCCATGAATATTGATTTAGGAAAGGCCAATGGTGTTTACGCTGCTGAATATGCATCATCATGGCCATTGGAAACATGTCAGGCTATATTGAGGCAGGGCAGCTCTGGGATTTCATGGGCTTGGGGATAGCAGGGTTGAACTGGCTCAATATCAACTTGAACTTTCTGCTTGAGTCTTAATTGCTTTTTGGAGGCAATCAGACATCCAGTTAACCTCCTCTTTCCAGGAATTTTGTTTTCTTGACTCTGCTGTCTTACAAAATGGTCAGGAGGAAGATATTTTCAGAAGGCTTAGGAGCTTGACACACAGGCCGGATGCATTGTAATTGCATCTGGGGGACAGAACACATTTCTGAATTTATTCCCAAAGCCTTATCTACATTTTAAAAATATTGTGGTTAAGTCTATGGTGGAGGGAAGGGGCATAAAATCACATACGAACACTCTTGGTAGGATAATGTGTGCGCAGGCACATTTGACTCTTCCCTCTCCTGGAATGAGCAGCTGGAAGGTGAGTCTTTAAGACTCACGGCCTCGCTTTTCTACAGGATGGTGCAAAGGAAGCTGCATGACAATGTTCTAGCCCTGGGATTGAGAGAGCTGGAGTGTGGTTCTGCCGTGAAATATCAGAGCATGGATATGACCCAACTAGAAACATACGCCTCTTGGCTTCCGTTTCTTCACTCCCCAAATGGGCGGATTCCTATTCTAACTACTACCTACAGTTAGTAGGAGGATAAAATGTTATAATCAATGTGAAGTGCACAGAACATTTGAAAGTATTTTGGAGTCACTAATGATACAATGGCACGTTTTGGAGAGAAAACCTTAGGACTTAACCTTGGATGGATCATTTATGACTTCTTCTAATGCTAGGATACTGGCTGAGTTACTTATTCCTGTGCCTGGGTAAAATTAGTCTCGCCTATAAAATAAGAATAATGACTCTATCCCATAGACACTGTATGCAGAATACTCTACAAAACATTACTTGAAACACGACGTGCATTCAAATAATGAGAGTTTCCATCTCTGCTTCTTCCTCCCCCTTAAAAAATTAGTTTATTTTCCCTTTTATTGACTAGTCTTTTGCAGAGGTGATTATAGTGCCTGGCAATGCATGGGAATGTGGGTCTTATTTATAGATTATTAATTCACTGGTCTTTTGGAAAATCACTAATGCTGTTTTCCAAATCATTTGTCTTTTTTCAATGCTAAAATTGTGATCTTATCTTCCCAACATAATTTGTTACCTGTTTATGAATTTTGACATGACGAAAGGAAGTGTTGAATTTATGGCAGCATTTGGGTAGGTAGCATGGCTTTTCTTGCTCAGTAGCTCTAATATAGTTTAATATTTGTTCTATTTTGGTTTGTGTATTATTTATTGCCTTTATACTTTCAAAAGAAACTAGAGGCTATTTACAAAAACACCAGTAGAGAATATAGTAAAACAACCACCACCAAAAAGAAATGAGAGTCTGGGCATGGTGGCTCACGCCTGTAATCCAGCACTTTGGGAGGCACTTTGGGAGGCTAAGACCTCAGGGTGGATCACCTGAGGTCAAGAGTTCAAGACAAGCCTGGCCAACATGGTAAAACCCCATTTCTACTAAAAACACAAAAATTAGCCAGGCGTGGTGGTAGGTGCCTGTAATTCCAGCTACTCAAGCTACTCAAGAGACTGAGGCATGAGAATTGCTTGAACCCAGGAGGTGGAGGTTGCAGTGAGCCCAGATATAGGTGCCACTGCACTCCAGCCTGGGTGACAGAACAAGACTCCATCAAGAAAGAAAGAAAGAAAGCAAGAAAGAAAGCAAGCAAGAAAGAAAGAAAGAAAAGAAAGAAAGAAACAAACAAAGAAGCCAAGTAGAAGAGAGTTGGCAATACCCAACCAAGAACTGGAGATCAAGGGGTACTGACCACTCTTGTACATTGTTTTGCTCTAAGCTTTCTAGCACATTAGGCAAAACGGGGTAAAAATAGATTTTTGTGTTTTTCATTGTCAGGTAAAAAACAGCTAAGTATACTTTTCATGAAAGCCACCTTTTCCTCAACCTAAATTATGACATGATTATTTGCAGAGACTGATGAAAATAACAGGTCACAGCAGCTGTTTTGAAGAATCTGAATCCTGTGTTGTTCGGCGTCACATTAGCAGAGATCCTTCACATTGAGGGGTTTGGGGAGGGCTCATGAGAGGACTGTGCCAGCTGGTCCAGGAGTACCTTCTCTCCATTGAGAATGGGGTTCGGACACCTTCCTGGGTGGGAAGGTGGTTAGTGCACCTGTGGACAGGCAGCCTGGTTTAGTTTGTGGATTGTTCTGTCCCAGGCATCTCCTGATCCCAGGCTTGCTTGCATGTTGGCCTGAGGCATTTCATCTGGTAGAAGAGGAGGGAATTTGGACTTTGTTACTTAGCTTCTAAAATGGAAACCTACAGACATCACGTGCCATTTAATTTCATTACGTTTGATCTAATTCAGTTCAACTCCATATTGTTCAATTTCAACCAGTTCAGCTAAGGGCAAGCACCTCCTGTGCCCTGGGCAATACAGGGGATATGGTTGGGTCAGGCTCGGTGCTGCCCTCAAGGGTGTGGCTTGCTGGCTTGGGAGGCAGATGTGTGCCCCACTGCCTGCCATGGAGGAGGGTATAACCAATGGCTCCACAGAGAGCCAGGGGAAGTGCTGTGGGGGCAGCCAAGAGGAAGCAACAACTCTGTGGAAATGTTCTTTTATTTATAGCGATAAAGGTACCTGTCTGTGTAATGATCTCTTTTCTGTTATATATGATTCTGGAGTTTCCAATTATGCTGTAGTTTAGAAAATATTTTTCCTGAGGGTTAATGTTTACATTTACAAATGTATACAGCTTAACTAACAGTTTAAATGGAAATTTTAATATATTCTATGAATTGTTGCTTCATTTGCATGTTTTATCAATTTGCCATCATTCTGGGTTATATATAGTGCAGTAATTAGAAATTGAATTAAAAAGGACTGTGCATTTTTAATTTTCACTTCGGAATGTGAAATGCTAGTTGTTTCACGTCTGCCTTATCAATGTCATGTTGTATAGATATGTGAGTAGAGGCCAGGACATTCCTGGAGACCTGAACCCCAGAGAGATGATAAGCATGGATAGGACGGCGAGTCACCTTACGCTGAAGGGAATGTGGCAGGTGTGAAGGTGATAGGCAGCTGTGACTTGCTGCTCACTGCTGTGTCCTTGGTGTTCTCATTAGCATCACTGTTCCCTATGTCTTGGCCCAGACCCAGAATTGTAGACTTAACAAGCCCAATAGCTATGCAGTGAGGAAGCTTTGCTAAAAGCATGAATGCTGCATATAGGTAGTCAGTTCCATTTGCCCTGAATGTGCACTAAGGACCCAGTCTGTTCTGTCTACAGCAGATGATCCACTCAGACAAATGCCTAAGGGACTGCGTGTAAGAGCTAATCACACAGTGGCCCTCCCTTCCCACCTCCTTTGTGTCATTATAGTCCTTATGGCAGACAGGACTGGCTGCAGGTGGCATTCACACACACTGACAGTACCTTATGATGGAGTCAGTTGGCTTTGCAGTGTGACATTGAGAGGGTGCTGGCATGTCCTGACCACAGAGCTCCACTGTGGACTATCTCAGGATGTCTCTTCCAATCTCCTGTAGCTTTTCAACTGTCTTCCTGAAAGAACTCAGGTATTGCCTGACAAGGGGGTGCTCGTCAGCAGCAGCTGCCCTCACCAGCTGCATCTCCTGAGCCTGGAAGTGTGCCTGGCACTTGCAAGGTGCTCAGTGTGTCAGTCAGGAGAGCCTGTGTATGCTGCAGTAACAAGCAAGCCCCAGCTCTCAGGGGTGTATCTCTTATTCATTTGTGTGTGTCTTTATGGTGGGCAGGAGCTCTGGGACATCCTCTGTCACCAGGCAAGAGGAAGAGGAAATGGTTTATGTGCATTGATTCTGAAAGGTATCTGTCTAGAAGAAACAGAAGTTACTTCTGCTTGTGTTTCATTGGTCAAAGCAAGTCATGTGGCCACATCTAACTTCAGAGAGGTAGGAAGTACAAGTCTAGATTTCCCGAGGGGGTGAATTGGATGCATTAGTGAGCAGCATTTATCTCTCACACACTTCATGTGTTTATCAAGCTGCACTAGAGGTGTGAAATAATGTTTGCCGATAATGACGCTGGTACCTCACTGTTCTTCCTCTAAGGGAAGATATTGATATTTAATTAGGTGAAGGTCTCTGGATGTAAAAGTAGAAGTTTCTAAAAATCTAGAAGCCTTAAAAACCTCAGAGATTGTCCAGCCGCATTTAATATTAGCAACGAGACCAAGTGATTTGCCAAGTGCCTTTCATTCTGTTGATGCTAAACCTGGGGCTTGTGTCTTGGCCTGCCAACTCACCCACTAGAGTTCTTGCCACTTTCCTCTTGTACCTGTAAGACAACGATCTAGGTCTTACTGCAAAGACCATTTCCAAAGACTCTCTGGTTCCTGAGGCTCCCTGGAGTAGCCAAGCACTCATTACTATCCACTGCAGCATGGCAGTGCTTGGGGTCTGCCTATTCAGCCTCTAGATGATGAGGATTACAGATAATAATGTACCCAAAGTGCTTTGGATAGTGCCTGCAACAGTAGGTGTGTAATAACTGTTTTTGTTTTTTGTTTTTTTTGAGTTGGGGGCAGGGTCTCACTTTGTTACCGAGGCTGGAGTGAAGTGGTGTGATCATGGTTCGCTGTAGCATCAAACTCCCCAGCTCAAGTAATGTTCTGCTTCAGTCTCCTGAGAAGCTGGGACTGCAGGCATGCACCACTATGCCTAGCTAATTTTTGTATATTTTGTAGAGACGGTGTCTCATTATATTGCTTAGGCTGGTCTCAAACTCCTGGCCTCAAGCAGTCCTCCTGACTCAGGCCCACAAATTGCTGGGATTACAAGTGTGAGTCACTGTGCCTGGCCTATAAATACTGATTTATTATTATTCCGTGTGATTGTTGTTGTCGCTATAATTGAATTCTATAGTGATGTCCCTTCTGGCCTGGCACAGGATGGCAGAGGGCTTACAGTTTTCTCCAGGCAGTGCTCCCATCTCAGGGTTCAGTCACCAGACAAGTCATTTGTTATCTCTTGCCGTGTTTGGATTTTGGCCTCCTGTGTTCTCCAATAAGGGCACCCTTGAGAAGAGGGGAGAGGAAAAGAAGGAAGGGGAGGGGTGGGGAGAAGAGAAGGTGCAATGAGCATGAGAAACAAGCACTGAGAGGCAGGATGGGTGATATGGTTTGGCTGTGTCTCCACCCAAATGTCACTTAGAATTGTAATCCCCACCTGTCAAGGGTGGGACCAGGTGGAGGTGATTGGATCATGGGGCCAGTTTCCCCCATGCTTTTCTCATCATAGTGATGAGTCTCAGGAGATCTGATGGCTTTATAAGCGTCTGGCATTTCCTCACTTGCACTTCTCCTTCCTGCCGCCCTGGGAAGAAGATATTTTTCTTCCCCTTCGCCTTCTGCCATGATTGTAAATTTCCTGAGGCCTCCCCAGCCATGTAGAAATGTGAGTCAATTAAACCTCTTTCCTTCATGAATTACCCAGTCTCGGGTATGTCTTTATAGCAGCGTGAAATGAATTAATACAATAAGCATCTGGAGGGGATATCGGTGGAGGAGACAGGAGGAGCTGAAGGAAGATACCACAGGTCTTGGAGCCAAAGACAAGGAGTGGCCCAGGAGCTCCAGGTCTGAGGGCAAGGCAGGGAGCAAGAAGGAGACAATACAGAGGTGCTGAGGCATTAGGGGTGTTGATTGAGGAGTGGCAGGCATCTCCTCTCAGAACGTGCTCAGGCTAGGGGGTTTCAGTAAATGTCCAAGCCCCCCTGGCCCGGTCTTTCCCTTCCAGGTAGGTGCTGTCCTGCCTCCTGCCATCTGGACTGGCCTTGTCCAGAGCGTTGCCTCTCCCTCTGGCTCTGATCTCCCTGCAAGGGGGCTCCCACTAAAGAGAAATGTCACAATTTACAGAGGGAATGCTGGCCTCTAGACAGCCATGGAGGGCTATGCAGGGAGTAACGAGATGCTCTGATAATAAGAACAGCCAAGGTTTATGGAGCGCCAGGTCCAGGAGTCAGCTCAGTGTGTTTTTGCTTCTTTATGTCTTAATTATTTGGGTTTGTAATCATCACCATCATGATAATGGAGATGTCAATAACAGCGATAACAGCTATCAACGAGTGAGCTCTTATTACTGTGTGTTTTATGTCTATTATTTGTTTCCATAGCAATGGTTTCAGGTAAGGGGATTTTCAAAAGGGGACAGTGAGGCTCAGGAATGTAAACCAGTTGCCCGAGCTCCCATGTCTGGTAAATAGCAACACAGACCATGGCTCAAAATATCTCTCTCTGACTTCAAAGCCCATGCCAGGGCTTTAAAGATAACTCAGGATTATGCTCTTTGCAAACAAAGGAAATTGGAATTCAGGGAGGTCCAATTTCAGTTTCTAGAACATCTACACCTCTTTGGAATGAAGGTGCACTTGGATTAGGGTCCTCTGAGCCCTGGTTAACACTTTTCCTCCCCATGTGCCCTGCTGCCCCCAGCAGATGCAGGACAGTCCTTTCTATGGGGTAGGGGCCTAGGTGGGAACACTGCTGCTTCCTGGTCCTTCCTGTGTGTAGCCAAGCTAAGTTTCGTTAATGCGAGGGCGCCCAGATAGTGGGCAGTTCTCAAAAGAGCAGCTTTTGGAGTCCCTGCGGAAGGGGAGGGAAGATGCATGTCCTCTTATTTATGGCCGTGCAACGGGCTTGGCCTTGGTAATAGAAACTGTGGTCTGGCGTGTTTCTTGCTGCCTTTGCTTGTTTAGAAACTGCCCCTTGCAGGCACTGCCCACCCTCACAGGGCATGGGTCAATGGTCAGCGCTGTGGTTGGCGAGTGTCTACCTTGTGCCTGGTTGATGCCCACACCCTGAGAGGTAGGACTATTATTCTCTCTTGTAGAAAAAGATGAATTTAGGATATTTAAGTAACTTCTCCAAGGCTTCACTGCTAATTCAGTTGCTCAGTCAAGATTTGAATCAGGTGTGTGTGACTCCAGCATGGAAATATTTGGTTCATGAGGACGCCCACTTGACTACACAGGTGTACTTCCAGAAGAAAGGGAAAGACGAAGGTATTTAAGCATTGTTTTGTAAAAAGGTAGTATTTCTATTTTCCTCCTCCTCCCCGCCTTCAGTATATTCCTACAAAAGGTTGATGGAAGGAAAATTGACATAAATCATCAAATCTCAAATGAGATTTGGGTACTTTGTGGTTTTGACTTATCTATACTGATCTTTCCGTGAATGCAGATCATCAAAGTTTGGCTTTTTCTTTCTATTGATTGACTTGTCTATCCAAGTGCTCATCTATCTGTGTCCTCTCATGTGGAAAGGGGCCACAGTGCCTAAGACTGGGCTTGAAACTTCTGGCCATGTGATACACGTATTGGTTTTGGATTGTTCTTAAACGGATCATCTGGTACCATTGAGGACTTTACCTTTCTGTGACTTTCTCAATTGCTCCGAGTTAAATAAAAAGTTGTATGAAGGAATGTTCAGTGTCCAAGAAAGACATTGGATGAAGTGGGAGTGAAGGGTGAAGAGCAGGGTTTTAAAGAGAAAAACTCACACAATTTAGGACAGGTGAAAATGGTGAAAGAAGCCTGGTATTCCCACGCCCACCCCGCTCCCTATTACAGAACACCAGGCTAGAGTCATCTTGTAGTGTCAGTTTCAGACTTTTATCACGTTTTCAAGTGGGGCCAACTTGACATTTTGTCCGCACAGCTCTGGCCAAAGCACTCCTGAGCCGAGGCTCGGCACTGCCAGGCAGCCCTCACTGTCAGACCAGCGAAGGCCATGGGGGCTGTGCACGCAGCCCCGGTATAGATGCAGCGCGGCCACATGCCTCTTCCTCTGGTTTAAATGTTTAAACAAAAAAGAAAAACGTAGCCTGAGATTTCACTCTGTGTGGCTGCCAGACACTTGTTTCTTTTCCAACTGGCTTCCCCATTGAGGGACTTTTCCCTGAAGGTCCTGGCGGTTTGGGCTTAGATTACAGGGAGCACGGCTGTATTTTTAAGCAGGCCATGAGGGGAAGGGGGAAGACAGGGGAGGACACTGGGATGGTGTGTGTGTGAATGCGTGTGCTGTGTGGATGTGTGTGCTGTGTGGATGTGTGTTGTGTGTGTGTTATCTGTGTATGTGGTGTGTGAATGCATGTATGTTTGTGTTGTGTGAATGTGTGTTTTGTGTGTGTATGTTATGTGTGTGAATATGTGAGTTGTGTGTAGTGTGTGAATGTGTGTACGTGCATGTGTGGTGTGTGTAAATGTGTGTGTGCATGTGTGTGAATGTTGTGTGATATGTGCGCGTGTGTGACTGTGTGTATGCATGTGTTGTGTGTATATGTGGTATGTGAATGTGTTGTATATGTGTTGTGTGTGGTGTATATGTGTTGTATGAATGTGTGACATTGTGTTGTATGTGTGTGAATGTGTGTGTTGTGTATGTGGTGTGCGAATGTGTATGTGAGTGCATGTGTGCATGTGTGTACTGTGTGTGTGGTTATAAATGTGTGTATGTGTGTGGTGTGTGTATGTGCGTGTTGTGTGTGCATGTGTGTATGGCTTTGTGCATGGTGTGTGTGGTGTGTGCATGTGTGTGTGTGAATGTGTGTGTGATTGTGTTGTGTGTGGTGTACGTGTGTGTTGTGTGTGTGTGATTGTGTTGTGTGTGGTGCACGTGTGTGTTGTGTGTGGTGTGCATGTGTGTGGTACAGCATGTGAGTGTGTATTGTGTATGTGTGTGTTGTGTGTGTGACTGTGTCTGCCACACAGAGTGAAATCTCAGGCTACGTTTCTCTTTTTTGTTTAAACATTTAAACCAGGGGAAGAGCTGGGCAGTGCTGAGCCTCGGCTCAGGAGTGCTTTGGCCAGAGCTGTGTGGACAAAATGTCAGTAAGTTGGCATTGTGTATTTGTGTGTTGTGTGCGTGTTGTGTGGGATGTGCATGTGTGTTGTGTGTGTGGGGTGTATGTGTGTGTTGTGTGACTGTGTGTGTGTTGTGTGTGGTGTGTGCATGTGTGTGCCTGTGTGCTTAGAACCTTAATCCTCAAGTCCAAATGCTGATGGCACCTCTGGGAGGTGATTAGGGTTAGATGAGGTCATCAGGGCGGGGCCCGGTGGGGCTGGCAGCTTTGTGGGAAGAGGAAGAGAGACCTCAGGGCAACACCCCACCCTTTGCCATGTGATGCCCTCGGCTAAGTCATGGTGCAGAGGGGAGGCCCTCATCTGATGCACCCCCAACCATGGAATTCCAGCCTCCAGAAATGTCAGATACAATTGTTTTCTTTATAAATTGTCCAGTCTCAGGTATTCAGTTATTGCACCAGAAAGCTGACCCTGATGAGGGCTCTGCAGCAATGCAGAGCTGGTCCCAGAGGCAAGATGGACAGAGCTTGTCTGGGCGTCCCTGTGGGCACCTCTGGGCCAAGCCCAGCTGCACCTTCACCCTCCTGATTTCCCACAGCAGGCAGGAGGGTGGTGGAGGCCACAGTCTGGGGCAGGAGAGTCTCTCAGATTCCTGGGAGGAGCTTGGAGCCCAAACGAGGACAGACAGAAGCTGCTTATCTCCAGCTTGGGTAAGAGCAAAGAGCTGGCCACTGTCACTTGCATTTTTGCAGAGACCCAGGCAGGCTGGGCGTGGGAGCTTCCCAATGGAAGGGAAGGCACTGGGTGAGCCCCAGTGGAGGCTGCTGGCCTGGAAGCTGGGGCCGCAACTAGAACTGGGGCATCCTATGTGAGTTTAAGGCGAGTTCGTTTGTCTTTCTCGGTTTGTCCTCAGTGGGACATCAGGGCAGGAGTCGGGGCAGCTGTGAGTTATTAACCAAGTCTTGGGCATCTGGGACTGACTCTTACAGGTTGCTTGATTCCTAGATTGGGGCCAGAGATAGCGGCCTGGCTTCCCGCAGGTGTGACTTACCGAGGGCAGGCCAGCGTCCAGCCTGGCTGCTGCAGGTGACGTGTTGGATTTCTGGGCTGGCTGCTGCAGGTCGTGGGCCACAGTTCCATCTGTATAGATGGTCACACCATTGTCTCTTTGTATATCCAGCGTCTGAGACCACATTCTGGCTCCAGCCCTTCCTGATGTGGGACCTTGGACGTGTCCCCTGACTGTCCTGTGCCCGTCTTCTCAGTGGTGAAGGGAGCAGTGACCATGCACACCACTGAGGACAGCCGTGGGGATGAGACATGGCAGGCCGAGGCACAGTAGGTGTACCAAAGTAATTCAGAAAAGCCCAGCTGTCCCTCCATGGGCCTTCACTCCATACTACCTTGGCTGGAAGGTGGCCAATGTTTGTTTTGAGGCTAGGGCTTCTTCTCCAAACACATGGAATTAATCTTTGAATCACACATTTGGCAGCTCTAAGCATCCCCTTCAAGATGGTCTGCTGACAGTCCCCTCTGCTGTCTGCTGACTGGACTCTGGGATGCTTTGTGAGGCAGTTGTGGGGTGGAGCAAATAATAAAGGTTTTGGAATCTGAAGACTGGAGTTAGAATCTTAGGTCAGTAATTTGCTGCCTTGGTAACCTCCATCAAATTCCACCCCGCTGAGGATGAGTCTCTTCATCTTTATGAAGGGGATGTGATATTGGCTCCCCTGGCTTGGGTGACATGTGAGGCAGCTACCTGGTGCTGGGCGTGGTGTCCATCTCTCCCTCTATCATCATCTGTTCTCTCTCTCTCTCTCTCTCTCTCTTTTTCTTATTTTCTTTCCCCTTTCTGTGAAAGTTACCCCATCCCATTTAGCTTTGTGAATGACCTGTGTTTCCCAGCATTCTTTACTCACAAAACTAGTTGGGATTGCTTTTCTTGAGAAGCTATTTTGTAAAGAAGTTGGCTAGATATCTGTCTACATGGACACAGATGTATTGATATCGTATATTGTTTCTTCTTTTGGAAAGGAGTCAAAGAGCCTCCTGTCACCTTGCGGGTAGGTGGGCAGCCCGAGATCTAAACTTCCCGTGGGAAATCTCCACGTGGAAAAGCCCCACTCAGAATCCCAGGCGGCAAGGGCAGATTAGGACTTATCATGGCGTTCCAAGCTCCGTGACCATAGGTGGGTTGCTCTTGGTCACCAGGGGGCAGAAGCATTGATGGTAAGAGCTGCTCTTCTTAAACCTATCGACTGAAATTATAATCAAGGATGCACTACTGGCTGTTTTGGATCTACTTTTGCAAAGTTGGAGTCCAAGACAGTCCCCCAAAGCCACCAGGATGACATATGGTCTCTGCAAACTTCTCATGATGAGGCACTTCATGAACCATCACAGTGAAGAAGGCCCAAGTCACAGCACCCCAGCAGAACCCAGCAAACACCACACAGTTTCATTCACCACGTAGAACCAGAAGTTGACTGCCGAAGGCCATCTGAGAGGCTGCCATAGTCTGTCCAATATTTTTCAATCAGGAAACACTCTGAGCTCCCTTCTGTGGCTGGGCAGGTGCTGAGCTCCAGAGGTTAAAAGAGAAACATGTGCTAACGTTCTGGAGGTTGTAGCATGCTCACAGTTAAATGGCTTTCATTTCAGAGTATTACTGATCCCAGATTGCACATGGTATGTGTGTATTACATGGACGGATAGACAGATTAACATCTGTGGAAACAAAACATTGTCTGCATTATCAGGTTGTGGTAAATTCTTATAATTTTGCGTGGCCTCGGCATCTGTTTTGATTCAAGTTTAACTTTCGCAGACCAGAAGTAAAGCTCGGTCCTTCTTGACACGGTTTCGAGTTGTACACCACACTAAAGTGGCTCAAGCTAGTGGCTCAAGATTCAGAATTCAGAGGCATTTCTCACCCAGCCAATGGAGCTTCTGCTTTCCTGCCCAGGCTTCCTTTTTAGACAAAGTCTCACTCTGTCACCCAGGCTGGAGTGCAGGGATGAGATCTTGGCTCACTGTAACCTCTGTTTCCCAGGCTCAAGTGATCCTTTCACCTCAGACTCCCCAGTAGCTGGGACTACAGATACGCACCAACACACCCAGGTTTTTTAAAAAATTGTATTTATTTTGTAGAGATAGGGTTTTGCCATGTTGCCCAGGCTGGTCTCAAACTTCTGGACTCAAGTGATCTGACCTTCTCAGGCTTCCAAAGTGCTGGGATTACAGGTGCGAGCCACTGCAGCCAGCCCAGTCTTCCTTTAAATGGACCATTCAGACCTTTGCCAAAGAACTTAAAGTATGTAAACTATTCCCACACCCTATTCCCTTACACATACACCCCCACACACAGCCACACCCACCCACATATATATATATGTAAACATACTGCTAGTTCCCACTCACTCTCTCTGCCTGACTCTCATCCCATTGCACGTGTCCCGGGGATGGAGGACTGCCCTCCAATTTCTTATACCCTCCCGCCTGCATCTGTAAGTAATAAATCTTTGAGCTAGTTTCCTGTTGTGTGAATTGATTTCGTGTTTTCTTACTGAAGAACCAGGGACTGCCTCAGGCTGGGCTTTGCCTGGGATGCCAGGCAGGCAGTTAGTGGGGACAGAAGGTTGGACTTCTAGCACCACAGCAATGGCCAGACAGGCATAAACTGAGCACGGGTCAGATAAGAGCCACAAGGGTGTCTGCCAGTATAAACACGTTTCCCATGTGAGGGATTCCCTGGTTGTGGGTTGAACAACGAGGCATGAGGCCATCCACAGGTAAAAGAGGCAGTCCATGAAAGGTGCCCTGTAAATGCTGACACCCAGCTCCCCCTTCATCTCCCATTAGGGCAGGGTTGCGAGCCACTCTGGAATGAGAACCTCAATTTAGCTGGGGCTCTGAAAACACAGGTACACTCTGGTGACTTGCCAGCAGACAGTGTTTACGTAGCAAGTGCCATATTCATGGCACTGAAATCACAGCTGCAGTTCAGGGAGTAACTTCCTGTCCATGGGTGGTGCTGAAATCACAGCTGTAGTTCATGGGGTGACTCCCTGTCCATGGGTGGTACTGAAATCACAGCTGGAGTTCATGGAGTGACTTCCAGTCCATGGGTGGCACTGAAATCACAGCTGGAATTCACGGAGTGACTCCCTGACCATGAATGGCGCTGAAATCACTGCTGTATTTCACGGAGTGACTTCCCGTCCATGGGTGGCGCTGAAATCACAGCTGGAGTTCATGGAGTGACTTCCCGTCCATGGGTGGCGCTGAAATCACAGCTGGAGTTCATGGAGTGACCCCCTGTCCAGGGGTGGTGCTGAAATCACAGCTGGAGTTCATGGAGTGACTTCCTGTCCATGGGTGGCGCTGAAATCACAGCTGGAGTTCATGGAGTGACTCCCTGTCCATGAGTGGCCTGGGCAGTGAATCTTTGGCTGTGCCCCATGCCCTATGTACTGTTATTACATTCATCCTTGGAAGCCACTTCAAAGACATTTCTAAACAAGGCAGATAATTGGTTGCAAGCCATCTGTTGTATGTAAACCAGCAAATGAGAGATGTGTACATCTTCTTCAGTTTATTATTTTGAAAATTTTAAAACCACCTTTCCAGTAAAAATATTCCAAAGGCATAAAGGAACAGTAATAGTCATGTAACTGCAGAAGAACAGCAGATATTAGACTGAAGTGTGGCCTGTGACCTCTAAGAGTCTGCAGCTGGAAACAACTTCCCTGGAAAGTTATGTCCAGTGTAGACTGGATATATTCAGTCTTCTTTTGGAAGAAAAAATTTCCAAAAAAAGAAATGTTTTTTAAAATAAAAAGTAACCAGTGTCATACCTTTTTGTAAATTTTTTTTTATATTTACATTTTATCTGGATATTTCTTTCTTTAATCCCTTGAGCTCCCATGAATATTTCTCAAGCCACACAGTCACTCTTTCTGAGTTAAAAACCAAAGAAATCAAATGTACTGCAATTCAGAGATGAAATGCTTTTTGTTTCCCTCAAAATAAAACTAATGGAAAGTAGCAGGTACTGCCTAGCAAAAACATGGTTGTTACTTAACGTAGTCTCAACAAATAGACTTCCATTGGAGCTGGTTTGAGCCCCACACAATCCGAAAGCTCTTTATGTAAGTCCATCATGACAAATAAGCAGCCCAGTAGATCTTAGAACCACTGGAAAGAAACAAATAGAAACTAAGAAAAAAAAATCAAAATGTTATGGAATAGTTTGCATTTCTTTTCTATCTCCAATTTAGCAGCATGTTCTTATTCTGTAGAAATATCACCTTTCAAGTTTCCATGTTGTCAAAGTATTTAAAACTCCACTGCTGGGAAACCAGAATGATCCATAGGGCATAGGGTGCAGTTTTTAACTCAAGCCCTGTGAAATGAGCTAATGTATAGATCACCTGAACCACGCTGGGAATATCTGTAGGCCGTGCCAGGTATGCAAAAGAAAATGGCGCTTCTATTTTTGTCTGGATAAGTCAAATAGCAACCAGACGACCACAACATGAGAGTGCGGAAAGTGCTCAAAATATTATGTCATTCTTCAGCGTATAATAAATCCCTCCTGCAAATTAAACTTAGAGTTATCAATTGGACTCATAAGTCTCAGTGGTGATTTCATCTTAGAATTTGGTAGCCAGTGGTACCTTGTGCTTGGCTTTGGATGCTGGGATGCTTAGTCATTAGTCTGTAGCATCTGTCTAGCAAATTCAGACTTTCTGGGCTTACATTTTGTGAAGTGATTTGACTTACCTTACTTTCTTCCATTTTTTTCTAATTGTGTTCATTTTTAATTCACTTTTTAAATACATTTCATCTCAGTCTGTTACCTTTGCCCTTGGAAGCCACTTCAATGACATTTTAAAATAAGGCAAAGAGAAAATGTTAGTACTTATTCTCATTACTAGTTCTGTGTTTGCTTCTACATATGAGAAGGCAAATAGCCTGGAGGTAACCAATGATGTAGATAGCGCAAGGTTTCCTGTTTAAAGGCTTCTCCTCTGTGCAGCTCTTCCTCTTTCCTCCAAGTCCAGGTCACAGATAGTAAAGTATGAGACAATGCTTTCAAAATGTGTCAAGCAGCTTATGCTAAGTAAGATGCAATGCCATTTCTCCAGGGACGGGGACGAAAGAGTTCTTTTCCACTTTGCCCAAAGACAACAAAAGTAGCTATCTTATTCAGATACTTTGTTTTCATCCCCTTTGTGATATCTTCTCTGGGAGGCAGGAGGCACGTAATGTTTGGACATCCTCTCTGCGCTGGGCACCACCAGGCTGAACTTTTTGTATGCATGGTCTTACTGAATCCTCCCAACTTTGCAAGGTTGTTTCATTGGTCCTATTTCACAGATGAGAGAACAAAGACCCAAGTTGTTAAATATATTGTAGAAATTTCATTTAGCTTTCGTGTGCAGTCTGCACTCTGTGATGCTGTCTGAAGAAATCGCATTTGCTGTGGTCAATGTTTGTGTTTCCTCAAATGCCTACATTGAAACCTGAAAATCCATATGTTGAAATGTAATAGTGTTGGAAGTGGGTCTTTTGGGAGGCAATGGGTCATGAGGGTGGGGCCCTCATGAATGGGATTAGTGCCCTTTTAAAAGAGGCTCCAGAGAGCTGTGTTGGCCCTTCCACCCTATGAGGACACAGCAAGAGGGCACTACCTGTGAAGCTGAAAGCGAGCCCTCATCAGACACTGAATCTCCTAGTGCCTGGAGCTTGAACTTCCCAGCCTCAGAGCTGTGACAAAGACGTTTCTGTTGTTTATGAGCCACCCAGTTTGTGATGGTTATAGCAGCCCTAATGGACTAAGACAGCCCTGTTTTACTAGTGACTGACAATGGCTGACTCACAGGACACAGGACCTGGCCCATATCTTCCTAGTACTGTAGGGCAGGGGATAGAGGATTTGAACTGAATCTAGGATCTAGAAAGATACTCATACTCAGAGCTAGAGGCAGCCAAAGCTTCCTCTGGGAAATTGAGCCCCAGGGAGGGCCAGTCTGGAGTATCCACTAGGCAGGTAGAGTGCTGCTGAGCTGCTGCTTCTGCTACTACTGCTAGCAGCAATCATTCATATTTAAATAGAGCTTTACTTT